ATTCATATCTAAATATATGTAATTATATCTAATTTATTATTGCTATAAGAGTAAACATACTCATAGCTGAGATCTCTTCTGATTGCACTGACGTTGGACACACCTTCCTGCTCGTATCGTCATCCCTGACGTCTCCTATATTATCTGCTCTGTATGCATTTCTCGTCCTTGTGGGTCCGGAGTAGTTGGCCGAAATCCGGTTGCACGGGACCACTTGATTCCGCCAGTCCGGGGCACAATCAAACACAGAACCTGAGGAATAGCAGCCGATGTTACACCTTCTCAGGCAGTCCCAAGGTGAGCATGAAGATTTGCTCTGATCACCGGTTCGACTGAACAGATAGAAAATAGCTAGCCAGATGAGACTTGTGAAGAGACTGCAGACGAAACAAGCCGAGATGACCAGCAGACTCCAGTGCAGAACAGGCCAAACGGGTCGTATGGCTTGTGACCGTGTATCAAGCTGAGTGTGATTGAGATCACTGATGCTGCTGTTGTCACTATCACGCTTAAACGGAGCACTCAAGTCGGCGGTCTCGGCAAGCGCAGAAGTTATGTCGGGGGATGTTGAAATGCCCACTCTGGACCTGGAGGAAAGTGCCATACATTGACGAAGCGGAAATTGCTTAGAGTCCTTTGGGAAGCTCATAAATCATGTTCAAAAAGGCTTACAGTCAAGCATTCGGTAGATCTTGAATGATAGCTGTATTCACCCTAGGTTGCACAAGATTATAAATGACTGAGAGTGGAATTCGCGCATAATGTATGGTTAGGCTTCACAATGCAAATGAATTTCACATAATCTTGTTTTCCAATAAGTATTCTTGTCCAGGCTGGACTGCAGGCTTTAGCTCAACTGATTAGTTTGACAGAGAACTCAGGACTAGTTAAGTTCCACAAGGACTCCCTGTGGCTACGACCAAGTTGAGATGGGAACAAAACTATACAGCTAAAGGAGATGCGCCTAAACAAAAGGCCTCACCAGCTTGGTCATCAAATCTAGGATCTCAACCACAAACCCTATTGAGGAGATTAGTAACGATAGGCATTCATGTGCTTGGAATGTGTCACCTGCCTAGAAATAAGCGTGTTTGTTCATGAAACTTCGCATCTACAGTTCGAATCCCGCTCGCGTAAGAGGATGAGCTTCAGGCGTGATCGAGATTACAGGTTATCCGGGTTGTGCACAGTGGTTTAGGATGCGTATGCTAATGAATTTTAATGAAAAACCAAGTCCTCTTATCAATTCACCATGGAATCGCTATTACAATCTGCAATGCTATGTGAAAAATGGTAGATATCATGACAGCAATTTGCTTCCTGGTTACATCATCTAATGAGAACTGACTAACTAGTTCCAACTAATAGTAAAATTACCTTCCTACTCTTGCTGAAGTAAATAAGCAATTTGTTTGCAATAACGATGTAAAATTAGGTAAAAATCATAGGTCCGAATGTCAAGTGGGATAAAGAATCAATCGGCTTTAAGCGAAATGATTTAGTACACACCTCATACTTATTACCTCAGGTTGACCCTTTAATGACAACTGAAGTCACTTTAGGCCGCTTGAGGGGATGTAAGTCATGCTAATTGAGTTTTTCGCAGGGAAATAAGAAGGATATTTCACTTGGCAATACCTTCCAAAAGGCTTTTCGTCCAAACTAGACTACAGCCTTTTCAATGTCCCCAAGGTAATTCGAAAACGCGCGTCAAGCACTCGACCACACAAAAAAGCCGTAATTGAAGTCCCCTCTGAATAAGAAAGCCTTTCGAAACACAAAGTCAAATGAAATTTACTGGTATTTGGAAGCTCAGCTATCAAGTCATTCCTCCGTTAAAACTACTAAAGATGACTACAGTCCTTATGAAATATAAAATAAGATTTTGCCTAAATCTTATGTGAATTTTTGTTTGAAAATTTAATTTATAGCTATTTTACTGAGGCCTGATTTCAACCAAATTATCATAAATCTTTAAAAGATTCCTCTTAGCTCTGTGACAAATCTGGCCTGTTGATAATATAGTAGTTAGGGCTAATCCTATGTAACAAAAACAAGTTTCGTAAATTAAAATGGTTATTTTGCCATTAGCTTCTTAATCCTCGTCTAAGTTGGTTGGTTTCCAAAAGATTGACAAAAGTACGCAATCTTATGTAGAATGAGCTGAATTTCGAAAAATCCCCTGGATATTCGATTCATCAGGGAATCTTTTAGACCAAGATTTTCGGCATATCCTATTGAAACTCACCAACTTACACATGGACCAGAAAAATAAGCCAAATTTGTGTTTCGTAAATGTTCTTTTTTTCGTGAAATTATTCCTAAACTGCATAAGCATCAGGCCAGATTTTCCAACTTTATCATGCAAAAATTGATTCATAATACTAATTTGAGGATGATTGACCTTGTTTTCGCAACATGATTATATTGGTAGGAAGACTTAGATGAACGCACCTAGTCCGGGGTCCATTGTCTGCATGATCATTCCCAAAGTTGAACCGTGGACGTGGTACATT